TCCAGTGTTAGTCACCTAGGATATCCTGAACACACTATGTAAATGACAAGGAGGCTGTCATGTGGGTTTTACATTCTCTGTCAGGCTATTGTTGCAGAAACAGCCCATGGCTTTGAACTCCCAGAAGGGTGTGTTCTATTGAAAATCATAATGAAACAAAATGTATAATTGTCCTAAACTCAATAGTGGCACTTTTTGCCTGGTCAGAATAATTCAAAGAATGGCAGAAGATGGCAGTTAAATAAGTTAGTAACTGAGTGATTTGGTGATGCATCACCACAAAATGAACTTAATTAATATGACAATGCTCCTGGCTCTACCACAGTTTACTGTAAGACCATGTGTGATTGATGAAGACCTAAAATGAGGGAATATACTACTATGGCCCTAACACTTTGAAATTCAACTAAAATCATGACTGGTTCTGACTACTGGTTATTTTCACCAGCTGATTATGTCCTAGATACACTTAAAATTAAGCACACTTATCAGCTATCACATACTTCCTGCTTTTCCAAACTCTCCTTTCTCACAGTATCACAGAATTGCATGCTGCTTTCCAGATCTCCAAAGGTAGACATTTTTAAGTTTTCCTCTCTTTTAATCCCCTTAACTTTCCACCAGATTGTGTGGTTCCCAACACCTCTTCTCCTATATTTATAACTCTTTTTTTTTAATTTATATGTCATTGTTTTGTTGACAACTTTATAAATCGCATAAGAAGAAAGATCCATTATAATTAGAATTCCAGCCCAGCTTCTTGTAGAGATGATGAGGCATTTAGATTGCATTTTCTTACCTGTAAAAAAAAACTGGATCTTTGCTTAACAGAGTATTTTTAAGGGTTATAGGAGATTTTCTAGTTAAAACTCAGTATATCATTCATAGCAGATTTCAATGACAGTTAACTACATGCTTATTATCATACTTCATGTGGCATGTAACACTGAATATGTATTTATCATAATTGTAATTATTAACATTGTAACCTTCATCATAGTCTTCCTTCCCCCATTCTTATTCACTAATATTCCATCTTCCCACTCTACATCAGAATCTTCAAAAAATAAAACTATCACATGACATGTAACACTGAATATGTATTTATCATAATTGTAATTATTAACATTGTAACCTTCATCATAGTCTTCCTTCCTCCATTCTTATTCACTAATATTCCATCTTCCCACTCTACATCAGAATCTTCAAAAAATAAAACTATCATCTCTTCTGTGTTCCATAGTGTCCTTACTCTCCAGAAGTGCTTTTGGACATATATAATCCCCTTCATTTGAGCTAGATTTTAATTCCACTACTCACCATAAGCTTTCTTAGATGAAGGCCAAGGAAAAATCTGTATTCCACCACCCAACAACACATAAAAGATTTTCTATTTCATGACTTTATTAATTGCCTCATCTCAATCTGACAAATGCTAGCATTGTTTAAATTCCACCATAGTAAACTACTGTTTTTTATATAACCTGTGTCTCCCCAACCACAATTATATGCTTTCAACTTAATTACTACAATCTTCTCCTTGTAATTCTGAAGCCCCCTTTTAAATAGTTACTTAAATATATCTGTTGGAAAAAAATAGCTTAACGTATTAGGAAATTATAGAAAGTATGATGATTAAGAGACAGATAGTTATATTTTCCACATATAATTTTTAAATCTACATAGTCATATAATTTAATACAGTATGCCCTCTTTTTCTACAGTGTCACTTTCTGTGGTTTCAGTCGCACAGAGTTCAGTCTTCATCTGAAAATATTAAATATGATAGAATAGTTTGAGAGAGAGACCAACAGAAACAACACATTCATGGAACATTTATTACATTGTAGTGTTATAATTGGTCTATTTGATTTTATTGCGCTTAACTTCTTACTATGCCTAAGTAAGTACAGGAAGATCATCATATTTGTAGGGTTTAGTACTATCAGTGGTTTGAACTGTTCCCTGTTGTCTTGTAAGTCCCTATAGATAAACAGAGGACTTGGGTTCTGTTCTCACATTTATGCTACTGTCTCATAAGTGGAATATGTATCAAAAACTGTTTACATTTATCAGGAAAATGTATTTGTTTGGACCTTTTTATAATTACTTACTGAGTCTTCCTTGCAGCTAGCAGTACATTCACACAGTATATGGATGGTATAAATCTTGAGACTTTAAAGCTGTAGTCATAGTTAATGCACAATGTGCTAGTAAATTTGGCATTGATCTCTGCTAAAGTTGGCACTCTACCAGAGTGAATTTTACAGTCATCTTAAACTATGAGATGCAGAATATAGTGATTTTTTTAAAACTCTGATTTTAGAAAATCCAAGATCAAATTCTAGTCCACCACTTACTAGCTATATGATCTTGAACACATTCCCTGAACTTTCAGAGGTTTATTAACTATAAAATTAAAATAATAATAGTACCCACATAAAAAAAATACTAGGAGTTTTAATTGAGGTTGAGTTGTTTTAAACTCATATTATACAAACCTTTAGGTATATAAGACTACAAGATGAACATAGGTCACTTTTTTTTTTTTAAGATTGATTTATTTATTCGTACAGAACTGGGGTACAGGCCAGAGATGTGGAAGGTGAGAGGATTCACCAGAGACAGAGTGGGGAGCAGAACAGGCAGATCGACAAAGTACACTGCTGAGGGAAGCAGTGGGAGGGTCAGGAGAGGTCTGCCACGCCATGTGGTCACCTCCAGGGCAGGTGGGAATCGAACTCATGAGGAAGTGATTTAAGCTTCTTTGTGCTGTGCTTTAACCCACTGCACCACCAGGGAGGGCCAGAACATAGGTCACTTTTATATCAATATGCTTCGAAAGATAAAGAGCATGTACCAGAATTTTCATGCTTATAGCATGAGACAGTCTTAATCTTTTGGGAATTCTAGAAATGTTTGCAGCACATCTAAGATGGGAGGAATTCAAGGTCACATAGTTATAGGACATACACTGGCTTATCAGCATCTTGTCCCACAGGAACTGATAGATCTTGAAGCAACCCCACTTTGGTAGTCTCAATGTCTCCACAAATGACAAGTCCTATTCCAAGACTGACACATTCAGGAAATCCCAAAGTAGTGACCTCCTATGGGGTATTTATAGTTACTCTAGTGTTGGTAGAATTTTTTTAAAAAGTCTGATTTTATCATAAAAAATTGTCATCTAGTAATGTAGCTAATATCCCAACTTTTATCAGGTTACCAGGGTAACTGTAATTGGACTAAGTTCACTGATACTCAAATTCTCCTCAAAGGACTAAAAAGGGTTATTAATTCTTTTCCTATATATAGAATATGAACTTGGTAAGTATTACTTTGAGGGAAACAATGCATCTGCACATGAAAATCTCAGGAAGGATAGAAATGTATGCAGCAGAAAATTAAATATGGAGAAGTTTATAATATAATTTATAGAGGTCATTTATTTTGTCTTATTTTCATGGATAGAGTTATTAGTGTAAGAGTGAAACTTACTCATCATAGAAGCATTATGCTATGCTTAGTAATGTATATAGTGTATCACTAATATGCAGCCAATTACATTGGAATAAAAATGTGCTTTTGGTTCTCTCTGTTGTTATAAGAAAAACAAAGTTGACCCAAAGGGCCTTTTTACCACTATAATTCTCACCTCCAGACTCAAGTCAGACAAACTGATGCTTTAAGCTCTAATTGTCTTTTAGGAATACAGATGCCCTTAAAATTAAGAGGGGGGCCCTCCCTGGTGGTGCAGTGGATTAAAGCACTGCACTAAGAAGCTAAAGCCACTTCTGCATGAGTTCGATCCCCGCCCGCCCGGAGGTGACTACATGGAGCAGCAGACCGCTCCTGACCTGCCTGCTGCTCCCCTCAGCAGTGTATTTTGTAGATATGCCTGTTCTGCTCCCCACTCTGTCTCTAGTGAAGCCTCTCGCCTCCCCTGAGCCTCTGGCTTGTACCCCAGTTCTGTATGCAAAAATAAATAAATCTTTTAAACAAAGAGGGTTAAATGTTTGTTGTTACATTAAAATGGACTTGCCCCTTTGTTTGGTTGATTGCGAGAGGTAAATGTAGCACCTGAGGGATGAGACAGCATTTTCCCATAGTATATAATGACTGTCATGGCAACTGGCTACTCATGTCTTGTAAACAAGGACTATAAGTTATTGAATATGGACATGAGTTTAAATAAAAATCAAGCAAGGTCTTCCAGTTCCTGGAAAGTACTCAGAGTGTGTCTGCCTTTAGTCCTTGATCTCCATGGCATCATCTTCATTCTCTGGTGTCGACACAATGCAATTTAGAATTCTACATCCTTTAGATTCGAGTAGGAATTTGTAGATAAGAGCTTGAACACAAATATTTTACTCATGAATAAGTACGAAAGGTCTGTCTAGAGCATATGTCTACAGAAATGTAGGTTAAAAGCTTTGTATTTCTATTGCTTATGATGTAGTTAATTACCATAACTCATATATTTTATACATTAAGTATGAACTGGAATAGTTAATATATTTGAATAAGTATACCTCATAATTATGACAGCTAAATTTCAAATGCCATTAAAAATAAAGTTAAGCATACACTTAACTACTCTTTCCAAAATAGTATTCAGTTAGCTAAGCACTTGTATTTAAATCACTAAACAGAATGGAAATTAGCATATGTTAACAGTTCTTGGTTTCTCATTTTCTAAATTAAAACAAATCTGGAATGAGCTAAATGAACAATATGGTAAACATAGTTTTAGCTAATTTTACTTAATCCCCTTTATTTTCTGTTTCCTGTGAACAGTTCTTACCAAATAAAGGGAAATGCAAATGTTAGCTTTGAGTCTCACTACTTTTACACATCGTAAATGTTGCTATATTTTCAATGAAATTGAGGTTATATCTCCAAATAGAAATAAAAACGCCCAAGTTGATTTCACTCTGGAATGGAGAAGACTGAGTTCATAATGGCCTGTCTGTGATGAGAATATCAATGCTTTTTTGCAGCTTTTGCCAGCAAGAGAAGCTGCCAATGACCTTCCAGTCCTGTGTGTTCACCAAAGAGTGCCAGGTGTCGGAATGGTCAGAGTGGAGTCCCTGCTCAAAAGCCTGCCAGGATGCGATGTCCCCCAAAGGCAACCGCATAAGGACACGACTCGTCAGGCAGTTTCCTATCGGCAGTGATGAGGAGTGTCCAGAACTTGAGGAAAAAGAGCTTTGTGTGTCTCAAGGAGATGGACTTGCTCCCTGTGCCACGTGAGTAAATAAAGGACCATAGCCTTTGCTTCCTAGATCTCATTTGTTCAGTTGTCTGATTTCAACTGGATGATGACTTGAGAAATGAGTGTCTTTTTTAAATTGAAGTAGAAAAGTAAAATATCTCTTCACCAACAATGTACTAAACACAGACTGGTTTCACTGCCGGTGAATGTCTCTCACAAGCTGTAGCTCCAGATATCCACAAGTTCTAAGTTTTGAGCAGCATCTCTGTTTTCTATCATAGGCATTGCCAAACCCTGTCTATCCAGAGATACAAAATGTACTTATTAGGCATTAAGGGTCCCATGTCTCAGTCACAGTGATTCACCTCAGTCCTTAGGGCTAAACAATATGTAAATGAGTATGAATATTGTCAGAAACAGTGACAGATTGGCTCCTTTCCTTGCACCATACTTTGTCAGCCCTCAAAGGTAAGATATGCCCTCAAAATACTGCTTTCTGTTGCTTATTGAGCAAGTCCCACTAAAATATAGAGCTGTATGTACAGATCCTATTAACTAGAGTAAAATTCTACATCCAAATAACAGGATTTAAAACTCCTTGCAGACAAGAATTGTGCTTACTAATCTGGCCTTGGTTTGTTTTTTTAAGTCTACATCACAAGACCTACCTCACCATAAATACCTAATAAATGTTTATTGAATTCAAGGAATATATAACTAGTTCTAAAATATTTGGCATGATAGCAGTATTCTTTTTGTCCTTAAAATACCATTGCCAACATGCTACTTTAATTTATCATGGCAATAAGTACATTCCAGCTTAGTCTGAATGTAGAATATAGTCTGAAACAACTTAGTAGCTTAGGTTCTCTTTAGATATTCACAAGCTACACTAAGAGCTTCTCTGGAATATTCAAAACATGTAAGGAACATCCATATAATTTCAGATTCAGTGAGGAGGAAAATTAATACTACTTCTGTACCTCCTATCAACAACAACAAAAGATTGATGGCTTACACAAGATCTTCGATTCTATAGTATTTTAGAAACATCCATTCTCCCCTGATGTAACCAGTGACTGAAAATTCCGAAGAGACTTTCCATCCAGATTTCTCTACCTATACCACTGATTTGTGTGTTCCTCTGCACATCAGACTTTCAGGAAGTTATTGGGATGTTAATGAGTGTTTTGTCTCCTGTGTTTCTTTTGTTATCTTAAGCTGGGTGTTTTATTCTTTGTCTTCTTAGATATTTGAATACCACGAATAAAACATATATTCTTGAGTCCCTTTTTGAAAGATAGCAGTTTTCTTAGAATATATAACCAACTTACATTACAGGAAATTTATTACTTTCTTGAACTAAATTGGATCTCCAGCATATAAAAATATATAATAATAAAATATTCATTTTAATTCCCCAGTGAATGACTTGCTTGGTTTTACTTGGCTTGCCCCCCAACCCCTGCTCAAGCATAGATTCTCCTCATTTTTAGTTTTGAACCTGAATGCTTCAATTCTTTTAAAAACATGTGTCAAGAGTGTTATTCCTTGTTGCCCCAGTTCTGCACCTCCATTAAGCCACAAATCCCTACTTTACAAAATTAAAAACAGCAGGAAGGTCAGCTTTACTGTCAAGAAACTTTACCATTGACAAAGTAAAGCATATAGATCAGACAGCTGAAGGTTCATTTAACCTTTTTTGTCTAATTGAGATGAATATTAGTACATCCATTTATACCTGTGTTGGCTGTTAATCTGATTACTAAGGTAGCATTTTAGTGAGGGTTACACAAACTGCTACATGAGCCATTTGCTCGATGCTTTTCAGAGTATCAATTTTCCTAGTGGTAGAGAAACGCCAGCACTTCCTATCTTCAGTAGCATCGAGAGGTGCTTCTCCAGCTATCTCCTTAAAGCAAGTGTTGGGCTGACAGTCCCTCGACATTTCTTTCACATCATAATCTTGATTAGAGGTTTCATTTAGAATCACAGATTGTCTTTCTTGTGTTCCACTGATTAGAAAGATCAGGTCTTTTCATCTTTCATCAGCACTCAGGAATGCTCAAGTCTAGAGAATTTTTTTTTTCTTTTTCTAGACAATAGAGAGAAAACTGAATTGTTATATTCAAATTAAAAATTATCTGCTATAGTTTTTAATCCTAACACATAATTACAAATTTGATCCACTATAGAACAGCAATTTTCATGTATCTTATTAAAGGAAAAACAAATATTTAGGTTCATCATTGAGTATGTGTTTCATTCTCAGTTAATCCTTTTTTCTGTAAGCATCAGAAAGGGCAAACCTGAGTTCAGCTTCATTACACATAAAATTTCATGTATTCAACGTTGTGCTCTCTTTTCATAAAATATTTATAATTGACTTCCAGTAGTTGCCATTAAAATAAAATAACCCTAAGTTTAACCCCTCTTTATTGGAGCATGGCTGAGGATAAAAGAGATTAAAACTGAGCAGGCACCATAGATGTGGTCTAGGGTCAACTCAAGAGGAGTGGTTTAGATTAATTTTCTTAAGATAATTTGAGAAGTGCCAAGAAAATTTTTACTCAATAAACATAGTTGCCACTGCTGGCATTTATGTTTCTAGATATGGCTGGAGGACTACAGAGTGGACTGAGTGCCGTGTGGACCCGTTGCTCAGTCAGCAGGACAAGAGGCGAGGCAATCAGACAGCCCTCTGTGGAGGCGGGGTGCAGACACGGGAGGCTTACTGCGTACAGACCAATGAAGCCCTCCTCTCCCACTTAAGCTCCCACAAGGACAAAGAAGGTAAACTTTGTTTTCTTCTTCAAGATTCACACATGGAACTGAGCATGGAATCATGCTTCAGGGTTATATGTTGGCCACTGATGGTATGAGGAGACATATTCTTCTCACATTGTGATTAGAATCAACTGCAATGAACAGTATTACAAATTATAGCAGTAAAAATAATTACTACTACTTTATCTTTGGTCACTTCTAATTTACTGCAAAGTTTCTCTTTAAATTTCCTGACTTCTAGCTCTGTGTCAAAACTTAGCAGTAGGGGCCTCCCTGGTGGCTTAAGGAGTTAAGTCTCAGCACTGTGAAGCCATTCTCAGCCACTGCAGCAGGAGTTCAATCCCTGGCCATGGTACCCACATGGCACAGCAGACCTCTCCTGTCTTACCCACTGTTCCCTTCAGCAGTGTATTTCAGTAGATCTGCCTGTTCTGCTCCTCACTGTGACTTTGGTGAATTCTCTCACTCCCCTTACCTCTGGCCTGTATCTCAGTTCTTGTATGCATGAATAAATCTTTAAAAAAAAAATTAGCGGTAGTAATAACCTAAAAAGTAGAATAAAAAGTAATGTTGTAAGTCTGTACATAGACTGCAAGAATATATCCTAAAACTCAAATTTTCTTTTACTTGTATAAGAAAAGAGCTTATAAAGACCAACTTGTGTCAGAGACCAGCTCCAACTATTGAGGTGTCTGGAGGCAGGACAGGCAGGACCCTAAGGTGGGAAGGCGTCGCGAGTAGAGATTCCTAAAAAAGGGGAAAAGGGAGAAAAAAGGGGAAAGGGGAGCGAGGAAGACACGGGAGTCAGAGTTGGGTGCAAGTCTTCCTGCTCTGCCTTCAGCAGAGGTTTATTTTATACATTAGGAGCAAGCAGTGGGATGACATCAGCACACGAACTGGGCTGAGAGATTACAATCATCTTTGTTTTTCCTAAGAACGGTTTGGGGTTGTTTTGACCCTAGCTTGAGATTACAACATTCTAAAATCAATCAAGGTAAAAAACAGGTACATAAGTGCACAAAATCTATGACTAATATTACTATAGTGGAGATCAACTAAGATAGAAGTCCCTTAAACCTTATCTACTACTTAATGGGTTTGTTTTTCTGCCTTAATCATCCTGGGAGACAGAAGAGGAAATTCCTTGCTAAACAAATCTCTGAATAGGAGACATAGGTGGATTTCTTTATCTAAAGACTACCTAGAATCCTGAAAAACTAGCCAGAAGACTTTTGTGGATTCCTTTAAGGTGTAGCAGGTGGAAAACTTGATTAGTTTAAAAAACAAGCAAACTGGATAAATTTCCACATCTAAAGGCCAAACAATAGGAAGTTTGAGTAGTTCTTTAAAAAGCTGAATAGAAGGCTAGGTTAGATAATAGAATGATAAGATTTGGGTTATCCTCCATCCGGCAGTGAGAGAGACTTTGCAAAAACAGCCCTTTTGCTTTTATTTATCAGTCAGTAGTCAAGTCACTTGACTTCAGGGGAATTTTTTCACCCTGGTGCAGTGCTTGCTTGTCAAGGCAGGCAGGCCTTGTGCGGCTGAGGCAATCCAATTGTAAGCTGAAAGTTGCTCAGAATATTTTGATATTACGGTTATACAAAAAAGGGAGGTCATAACATAAGTTAGCGTGGAAAGTCTGATTTTTCAGAGCAATTCCCCTCCATCTGGACTGTGTCTGACGACAGAGGTTGCATAGCTCGTGTCAAACTTGTTTGAAGTTTCTAATATTATTGAAAAAAATAACACAATTACAGTATTCTGTGAAAATTTGAATTAATAAACACAACATAAAACTATCATGAACAAAATCTTTAAACCAAAAGCATGACTTTACAAAAAACTTTAATCATTTGATTTGCCAAACATATCTAGAATTTTTGTTAAATCTAAAATTTGGAATCAGATGTATAAATGTATAGGTGAGTATGAGTGGCCAAGGATTAAAGTGTATTTTATTATATATATTATGTTACTTTAAGATTCTCATCATTATTTGGTCAATTTTATATTTAGTAGATCTTAAATCCATATAAAAGTTAATATTTTTTAAAGATTTATTTATTTTTGCATACATAACTGGGGTACAGACCAGAGCCACAGGTGTGGTGCGAGGATTCACCAGAGATAGAGAGGGTAGCAGAACAGGCAGATCAATGAAGTACACTGCTGAGGGGCGCAGCGGTTGGGTCAGGAAAGGTCTGCCGTGCCATGTGGGTCACCTCCAGGGTGAGGACCAAACTAATGCTGAAGTTGCTTTAACTTCTTAATGCTGTGGTTGAACTCACTGCTCCGCCAGGGAGGCCCCAGAATGAATATTTTTAAGCAATGGTATATGAAAATCCTGTTACACTCCCTAAACCTGAAGAATAATAATACTTCTCTCACTAATTCATTCAACATGTATCAGTTGCCACGAGAGTTCCCAAAGTTGTGTAAGATGATAAGGGTAATGCAATATGATATGCATTTTTATTGGGTTTTAGACTAGCTATTGGATGTCATTGAAATAGGAATCTTCATAGAAGAGGAAACATTTGAGCTGAGGGATAATACATACAATCCATATGGCTGCATGGGTCAGAAAACCAAAAGGGAGCTTACTTCCAGGAGGGAATAGTATGACCATGAAAGAAAATTTGAAACAAAAGAGAAAACTTGTCAGTAAAGATGAGAATATTGTATTTGGCAAGTTTTGGATAGGACACAGGACAGTATTCCTCAGCAAATTTCTTTGTTGGAAAAGGGAAAGAATCAGAATAAAGCATTCAAGATTTGCTAGTATTTACCATCAAATGACAGACCATTTGAAAAAGGTTCTTGTTTAAGTTCTCTGGGTAGAGAGAAAGAACTTAAACAAGAACAACCAAAAAAGAAGAGGAAAATAAAAGGAGAAATAATTGCTTTATAAAACAAAGAAGCGGTAACTCTCTGCCTCCCTGCCAAAGCAGTGGTTCCAATGATCAGGAATTTATGGAATATAAGTGCTAAAGTTTTGCATTTGCAATTTTTAAATTTAATTGTTCTGTATCCTCTAACGTCACACAGCATGTCAACTCATTTAGGAATCTAGCCTAGGGATACATTTTACTACTAATGTATCTTGAGGTTGTAAGGATGTAGCATAAAACATGTAATGTTAGTGCATTAATATTTTCCTGGCCACTTTAATGGCTATATTTTTAACACTCAAAGGCGGATTTATTATAGTAGTCCTTTCAGAGTAGTATAATTTCATTGCCAGAGGTAGATCAGATTTTAGTTTCTGAATGTCAATTATGTCCTGTAGGTTATTACTTTGAAAAGAACCTTCAGAATTCTGAATTGCAACTGAATATCTTTTAAATATATTTTTTCATTTAGTCTCACTCCTGCCAAGTACTGCAGAGCATCAAAAATTAAAGTCACATAAAGAAAGCAAGACAAAAGGAATATTATTATTATGTAGCTGTTGAATAAAGCAAATGCCAAAGCAAAGGTCAATAAATATGGAAGTAATTAATACACCTAAAATTAATATATATCAGATAAGCATATAACATGAATAACTTAGGACTTGGTATCCTTTCATGTCAAATTCCAAATATACTAATAAATCTCTTAGAGCTTCTGCAAAAAAAGTTGATTCTTTCTAAAAGTGCAACTAGTTTTTTCTCATCAAATTTAGACTGTATGCATTTCCTCTCAGAAGGCACTTAACATTTTTCAGAGGAGAACTTAATTCAGCACAACAACATTCCAAGTTCAATATGTGAAAACTAAAAGTAAGTATGAATTGAAACAGACTGTGTTGTGAATTCTTCAGTCTGTCTCCTAATAAATATGAAATAATGAAAGCTTACTTTTAAATAACCTCAAAGAATCACCCTCAATCAATCCTAGTAGGAAAGTCCTGAGCTCCAGAAATCCTATTGTGTAACTAGTAATAACCTGCCCTAAAAGCAATTCACTTTTTAATTTGAAGAAAAACGTCTACTCTGGTTTTTACAAATTAATACTATATATATTATATACTTATATAAAAGACTTTTTACATCCTTATATTTTCATAAGTAATCAAGCTATTAACTCAAAATGAAATATCTTAAATACTTGAAACAAGTGTTCCTGAAATTTGCATAAACTTCCTTGGTACATCATATTGTGCAGAAGAATACAGCATTCTTAACAAAGAACTTGTCTTCACTGGTCACTATTTATTGACTTTCACTATACTGAAATAAAATATAAAAATCCCAACAGATTTTTCAAAAAATCAAAATATGTGTTATATAAAATAGTGTATAATGTACTGTTCACATTGTGCTAGCTTACCTGTGTCAGTTGAATTAAACCATCAAAATATTTATAAATTAACTTGGTTATATCATCTATATACAATAGTAAAAACATACTACTTGATTGTGGAGATTATTCACAATTTATTCATATATTGCTATTTGGAGATAGGCAATTTTCTCAGTCCTGACAACCTTTCCCTCACAGTGTCCTAGTGAGCAATATTTTTTACTATTACTTCTTTAATATCAAATGTTTGATACTAAGAGTTATCAGTAAAGTCCTTGACAATTTCTGTTCAGCGTACTAATCAGAATTCCAGTAGCTGTAAAGAAAGTACAAATTATACTGTCGTGAAATCTACCCTTATCAGAATATGTCAGGGAGAAGTTTTGCTCAGGGGAGGTTTATAAGTTTAAGTTATAAGGAGCTGATAAAAATGTCGCTGATGATGGGATACATGAACAGGATTCAGTTTGAAAAGCTCTAAGTGAAATGAACATAGATTTCACTATACTAATTATAGAAAGCTCCATTTAATACAGATTAAACTTGTTTTAAAATAAGGAAAACCAAAAGAATTGATAATAACACCCCACATAAGCCCAGAGTAATTATAAGAAGCTAAAGAACATTCTTTTATAGAAAATATATCAAATAATTCACATTGAAACCTAGGTAAAGTCTAGGTTTTGACATTATTCTGGAAAATGAGACTGCATAAT